CGAATGGAATCTTATGTACAACCAAAGAATTAAGATCGTAAAAATTAAACTATAAGAATTATCGTTGAAATGATTTTTCTGTCTAATTTTTAAGATATTTTTGCATAAGCCAATCCACTCGCCTGATCGTTTCGTCCAGCGTTTCAACCGCAGCGCGCGATATAAATTTCAATGTATCGATTCGAACGAAGCAAGAACGTTTCAACGTTTCGGGTACGACAAAGGGTCGACCCTTTGCAGTCGAAGCTATTTGAAATCGAAATCCGAAACACGATTTCTGATCTACAGTATTTCTATTTTATGCAATTTATTGCGATTTATGCGTATGAAATTGAGCCTATTGGCAAGTACAACGCAATTTTAACAGATTTTTACTAAATATAAACGTGTCTGATGCTCTTAGAATGATTTTGAAAAATATAAACTGTATATTGTATAAATATTATATTATATATAATATAATATTATTATATATTATATATATTATTATATATTCTATTATATTATTAAATATATTCTATATATATTATTATATATTCTATTATATTATTATATATATTCTATATATATTATTATATATTCTATTATATTATTATATATATTCTATATATATTATTATATATTCTATTATATTATTATATATATTCTATATATATTATTATATATTCTATTATATTATTATATATATTCTATATATATTATTATATATTCTATTATATTATTATATATATTCTATATATATTATTATATATTCTATTATATTATTATATATATTCTATATATATTATTATATATTCTATTATATTATTATATATATTCTATATATATTATTATATATTCTATTATATTATTATATATATTCTATATATATTATTATATATTCTATTATATTATTATATATATTCTATATATATTATTATATATTCTATTATATTATTATATATATTCTATATATATTATTATATATTCTATTATATTATTATATATATTCTATATATATTATTATATATTCTATTATATTATTATATATATTCTATATATATTATTATATATTCTATTATATTATTATATATATTCTATATATATTATTATATATTCTATTATATTATTATATATATTCTATATATATTATTATATATTCTATTATATTATTATATATATTCTATATATATTATTATATATTCTATTATATTATTATATATATTCTATATATATTATTATATATAATATAATAATAATAATATAAAAATATAAAAAATATATTTTTGGTGGCGTCTCAGAGTCGCCACTAGAGTGCAAAGGGTTAATCGAATCGAATTATAATGAAGGCCGATAAATAGGTAGATCGCAGAAGGTCGGCTCGTTGGACGCGATTTTTCAGTGGTTTTATCCGGCAAGCCGCTTCGCAGCAGTCCCGCTTAATCGTCGCTGGCAATTAACGTTCAGCTTAATCGCGGTCCTGGATTCGGAGATCGTGATTCAAAGGAGAAAATGTAACGTCGCAGCCCGATGACGTCGCATCCTTATTAACCCGGCGCAGTCGCATCCGTCGCCGTGCCTCTGTTCGTATTCACATATAGGGTGTTTCTCTCGATGATGCCACGTTTCCGAAATCTCCGGCGTTCTGCAATCATTCGAAATTTCCAAATTAAAAAAAGCAATCCCGTAAAAATCCCACCGTCTCGCCGAGCGGTTCTCAATGAACCACCGTCGACCACCGTCGCCTTCGCCATTAACTCCTTAATGCACAGTTTTTTTGAAAAAGGCCGGCCAAAAAGAATCAATTTTTTCTAATGTAAAAAAACACAATTTAGAACGTTGTCTTGGCAAAAAAATTAAAAGAATACAAAAATAATCGAAATTTTTATTTTAATTTTGGATTTTGATCCACATCGCAGAAAACAGCCGAATATTGCAATGTTACACGTACATCGACTTTTTTATCTTTCTTTTCGAATTGCTATTTCGGAAGAAACATATTTTTATCGGTAAAAGTAGATAAGCAATATCCAACCAAATCCACATCCTCATAGGTTTCCATTTGTTACCGGCCCTGATTCAACTTTTCTTTTGGTGGAGAATTTTGATACACTGCGCTTTTGTTCCACGGAAAAAGGCTATATTTTATTCTTGAATAAATAAGTGTTATAGCTTACAATCCCATGTAAATGATAAAAATATCAATAAAACGATTTCTTTTTCTTTGCTTTCACATTGTTATTTTCAATTCTCGATTATATTCGAGTGTGAGAAATTATAGCAGCATAAAATACAACGCCGCTCGAATTATCTCGAGTGTGCACAGTTCGGCCAGTTTAGCGCGCTCGAGTTAACTCGAGCGTGCATGTAAGGGGTTAATTTACACGTTCGACGATTAAAATGTGCTGGCCGGTGGACCAAGTTGACCCCGAACACCACGGGGGTTAAGTATGGGCCGCGTGGAGGCTGGTCGAAGTAGAGAACGAGGCCTCGGCACAGATTCTCACGAGAATTCGGCGCGGATTCGATCCTCCGGAGGATCGAATCCGCCATTGACGACCAATTAGTCGGGAACGTATGCCCACATGTTCCGTGAGAACGAGAAATTCGGTTTCTCATGACGGCCGCGCAGTCCTAGTATAGTAGGGGAAATCGAAAAACGCGGTCCGTCGTCCCGCATAAGATCGCCTACGTATAGTATAACAATAATAATAATAAGAGGACTGCGGGTGGGAATTTACGAGGACGTCTTTAGATCTGATTACACCGGACTACTGTATTCGGGGAGACAGAACTGCGCCCATATCCAGAAATGTGCCACCGACGAATTCAACGAGCCGCTAATCTCCCCCAAAGATCGGCTTTTCGAGGCAAATATCCCCCGAATGATGTAAACAGGGAGAACCGCGTCGAATCGAAACTCGTCTCACCTTTTTCGCGGTCTTCGCTTGGTTGCAGAATATCCGCTCCGTTTTCCATGCTCCTTTTAACCCCTTAACGTGCACGCTCGAGTTAACTCGAGCGTGCACGTTAAGGGGTTAAAAGGCTGTCTCTTATACACATCTAGATGTGTATAAGAGACAGCCTTTTAACCCCTTAACGTGCACGCTCGAGTTAACTCGAGCGCGCTAAACTGGCCACAAACTGTGCACACTGGAGATAATTCGAGCGGCGTTGTACTTTATGTTGCTATAATTTTTCACACTCGAATGCAATCGAGAATTGAAAATAACAATCTGAAAGCAACAAAAAAAACAATCGTTTTATTGATATTTATCATTTGCATGGGATTGTAAGCTATAACACTTACTTATTCAAGTATAAAATATATCCTTTTTCTACTTATCACACTTACGACTTATCTCTTCCTTGTGAGCCGCTTTCCGACAGCGTATTCATATTCAGATTCTGATTCGCTCATTTTTCAATATATATTCTACTAAAATATAATGTAAAATAAAATATAATAATAATAATAATAATGATAATAACAACAACAATAATAATAATAACAATAATAACAACAATAATAATAATAATAATAACAATAATAATAATAGTAATATTCTGAAAATTAGAAATCATACCAATTGTATAAATTGTATAAATATTTTTGTATTTTTGTAATTGTCTTGCCAAGACAACGTTCTAAATTGTGTTTTTTTACATTAAAAAAAATTTATTTTTTTTGGCCGGCCTTTTTAAAAAATCTGTGCATTAAGGGGTTAATCAGCGAAACTCCCGAGCGGCGCTGCGTGTTCAATTTCTCATCCTCGAAGACCTGAAACGAAGGTGAAGGAATTAGGGTTAAAATGAAAATTGGAGATTTAAAAGCCCGTGGATCTTTTCGACGTTCCTGTTGGATAGCTGCGAATGTTCGTGAATATTTTGTCGCAAAGAAGTACCGAGAATTGCCATGAGAATATTTTGTCGAGTGCTTTCGAAGAACCCTTCGACGCCGCGCACGGAAACCATATGTTTCCACGAGCGATCATGCTGGCTAGGATGACTCTCGCCGACACGCGACCCGCAGCCACCTCGAACGTACTTCGCCGACGATTCGACTCGCGAACGGGAATGATATCCGTGGAATTCTCCCAGATCATCTTTTCGCAATTACAATAACACGCGATGCTAATAACTGGACAGCGGAGGTTTCCGTGAATCGGTGTTTTCGTGAACGCGATTCGAAAGGGAAAAATAAAACTGAGACGTATATGTTAAGAATTTGATTCGACTAGAAATTGTACTTTTTTTCATGATGTTTGTAGTTATACCCCCCTGTTAATGTTTTATATTATTTGAGAATTAATTATACCTCGTCTGTGACAATGAATTCTAAGTGTTCACTTTGTTTCATTTTCACAACGGTGAAACCGTTTTTGCAAGTCGGTAGTCGGCCAGCAGTTTCAATATTTTATCGTGAGTGGCGCCATCAGACTTGGCGTTTTGTTTTTGTAGGGCGGTAATTTGGCTGACGGTTTCAGCGTTTTGCCACTACGCAAATTAGCGCTGTATGGACCCTCCCAAAGTGAGCTTCGAGATTTCACCACAAGGAGCGCCACTTATTACAAATGAAGTTTGGTTCGAGCGCCAATCAATGTAGTGGCAAAATGCTCAAACTGTTAGCCAAAACCGACTGTCGGCAATTTGGCGAACAGTTCGAGCGTTTTGCCACTACGCCAAGTGGCGCTGTACGGACCTCCGAAGCGAGCTTCGAGATTTCACCACAAGGAGCGCCACATGTTACAAATAGCGCTAATCTTGAATTTATAGGAGCAAATGATTTGTGCCGCTTTGAACGTGGTCGCTTATGAGAAATTCATCATGAATCATCTGTAGTTGGATTTTATTAACAATAAACTTTTTTGTATGGTATGCACGCAGGAAATTCTGCTGAACATCTCTATGCCTTCAAAGTATATTTTTAGACATTAAGTTGACAGAATTTACGAAATATTTACGTTTTCCAGTTTCCATGTTTTCAAGCGTCGACGAAAAATGGCGCTTGATTTGCTGTTTTGTTAAATATTTATTAAGAGATACGATAATAGCAGTTGTCATTACAAATTGATGGGGATACCAACCAATAATTTTCGAAGAAGTTTAATTACTTTTTCTTATGCTTTTTTATCAATTCAACCATATATACATACTTACTACGTATGTACCGTATAACCTGTGATTGTAGTATATGTAAGTTTACACTGACTGGTTTGTGCAGCCGGTGAAGTTGGGTGAAGCCGGGACAAACAATATATACACATTTTTTACGTAATTAGGAGATTTGCTGCATTGCTTTTTAATTTGAGAACATAACAAGTACTCAAAATGAGTAAAGCACATCCTCCTGAACTCAAAAAGTAAGTCTGTTAAATCATTTGGTTAGCAATGTTACTACGAACCCACGCTAAAGATAAACCTAATAAAACGATATTAAATAATTCTGTTGTTTTATTGTAGATACATGGATAAGAGATTATCACGTAAGTGAAGTAGGTTTTAACAATTATTCGTAAGGTTTTAACAATTATTCATTAATTAATATAAAATAATCACATTTATAGGTTATAAAGGTTGTTAATGTTTTGTTTACATATTACATGTTTAACGTAAAATTTCTTGCAGTAAAATTAAATGGTGGACGACACGTTGTCGGTATTTTACGCGGATTTGATCCATTCATGAATATGGTGATCGATGAAAGTATAGAAGAATGCAAAGATGGCACAAAAAACAATATTGGCATGGTGGTGAGTTACGTTATATGAAATTTAACAATCTTAAGATTTACAGTCGTAATTTAATGTGTTTTATTTTCCCAGGTAATACGTGGTAATAGCGTCATAATGTTAGAGGCTCTAGATAGAATATGAGAACAACAAACGCGGAAATTATGTAAAAATATAATTTGTATTCTTAGGAGATTAAGTAAAGAATCTTTTTTATGACTTATCAAGTTAACGCTTTTAATCCTTCTCCAAATAAGAATATGTTTCAAACAACGCAATTTGTGTCTAAAAATAAAACGTCACTTTAAATAAATGCTGTGTTATTAAATATTCATTTATTACAAAAACTTCGTCTATAAATACATCAATGAACAATATCTGCCACAAGTTACACTTAGGACGCATTATATTTCGCTTAGTACTTCTGTGATTATATTCACTGAAAAAATAATCTATTTACAGCTTCATAATTTGAGAAATTCTCATGCGGTCTATACCAGTAAATAATGATGTTTAAGTCTTTAAATCTATGAAATTAGTAGATCGTAACATGACTGTTCAGCTTCATGAATGGAAAATTCGATAAATGTTATTGTCGATCGAAAATCGGTAAAGTAACCAACAGAATAAATATTATTCTCGCGTAAGGAACATTAAAATTTAGAAGGCACGTGATATTTTATTTATTTCCTTTATCGAGGAACATATTCGGGTGACACGAAAATTACCTTTTCATCTAAGTTTTCTGTAATGTATCTATTCATTCTCTCTCTTTTTCTGGTCAACGTTCGGTAAAATCTGGGTATTCATTTCAGAATTTAAAGCACATTCTATAACAAGATATAAGATTTGTCAACCTTCTGTCTGTATAACAGGCGTCCTTTGTTATTTGACAATAATAATACAGCTTAAAACTCTGGTATATCGGACATCAGTTCCCATATATCCTTTTCGATATGAAAGTACCATGTGAATAATATTATTTCACGAAGTTGAACGTTTCTAAGAACAGTTGCTACATACAAGTAGTGTCTATTTCATATTGTTCTACATGTAGCAATGCATTTTCATTGTAAATGAAAATAAAAATTTCGTTTCCATACTTCTACTGCAAGGTTTTGTTCTGATAAGAAAGCTGATGTTGCGCAAAGTTTTTTGTGATAACAATTACATACATTGTTTCCATGTTGGCAAAGTGATTTCAAAAATACCTAAAACATCTACAAACTTAGATGTATGTGTTAATGAATGAATGACTGAATGAATGAATGAATTGATGAATAAATGAGTGAATACTTTTAAATAACTATACAACTAAAGATAAAAGGAACACAATGCAGCTTGTATGCATTCATGCATCAAAAATGGCGTTTAACTCTCTTTCCATATAAAATACTTTTACTAGAATAAAATGAAAAGATTATGTAGTTATTTCTCATTGAAATTACCTGACCATGCACGTTAAGATATGTATGATTATATCTTTGTTTGCTTGCACAATTGTCATAATTAAAATTTTTCACGTGAAATGATAAAACTGTTACAGTGGAAAGATGGTCACATATCACAGTTCGAAAATTTTTGCTTACTCTTAAATTTAATTTCCATTTAATCTGTAGCAGTTTCTTCGAGCGTGTTACTTTCTTGAAAAATATAATTCCTTAACTCATCTGAATAATGTTCTTACTATCTCTTTATATATAATCTATTTTATGAATAAGAAACAAAGATCTGGGTATATTTTAAAATGTCTTTTTCTGTGCGAAACCTGCTACGTAATTTAAATTACGATCTAATAATTTAATTAGTTGAAAAACTCGAATAAAATTCAGTTGTGGAAAAAGTAACAATTGGTTAATCATAGTACTTATGCATATTCTGCCAACAATCACTTACTCGAGTTTCATAACAAGTATACTTTCAATTTGAATAATTATTTTTCGTTCTTTGAGACTTCAATGAGCGATTACAATTGGAATGTTTTACGTTTCATTAAAGTCGTCCAATTCTATTTTGATATTTTCAACAGTAATCTCATCATAATTAGAATTGTGTCCATTCGTTTTACTGTCGTTTTCGATCTTTGTTTTTACTGGTAAGCTATTCGTATCAATTTTCACAAAATCCTTTGTGTCGAAATCCTCGTCGGACACATCACCATTTTCCATGGCAGCGTCCATTCTATCTAAAATTTTTCCTGTTCGATTGTGCACTGACGCAAAGTGCTTGACTAATTCCTCCTGCATCACCTCAGCGTGACACAAGGCACACGCTACTCTGCCATGCTTCAGTTGTCTATGATATTTCAAATCTCTCATGGTAGGACAATTCGTGGGACAGTCCAAGCATTGGAAGGTCTGCTGTAGACTCCGTTTCTTTTTTATAAGAGCCTGAACTTCGGGTAATTTGTTTTTTTTGTGATTGAGTACCATATGATTCCTCAGCTCGATGTTATTAGCAAAAGACTCTTTGCACACCTTACAAGAATATCGTGACTCGCCAGTGTGCATGGCAACGTGCAACTTGAAGTACCAATCCGTGCTAAAACGCTTAAGACAATACTTACATTTGAACTCTTTCTTTTTATGTTTGCGTTTCTTTTTCGATATTGGTTTCCTTTTCTTAAATGATATATTAGACTCGTTTGGAATCTCAATTTTTGTTATTGCCCGCGGAACTAGAGTCGGTTTTGGTACTGTCAATGGTGCAATTGGTTGTTGAGTAGGCTGTGGCTTCGCTGTGGTTATTGGTATCAACGACGGAATGGGTAATGAATTAGTTATAGTCAAGGGGGCCGTCGTTTGCTGAACAGGTTGTTGATTCGTTACAGTCAACGATACTGCCACTGATTTCGAGGACTGCGAATTTCCTATGGTCAGTGGTATGGGTATAGGAGAATCCGCCATGATACAGTACCTGGGTATACCTTGTTTCTGATGCAACAACGACGGCTGCGTTATCAAATTAGTTATAGGCACGACGCGGATTGGTGTGAGCACCGGTTTTGATTGAATCGGTGTACTCATAACGTGAGATTGCGTAAACAGTATGTCGTTCAACGTTAACGGTTGCGAGCTGTGCTGCGTTGCAAACGTAACATATTGATTACGAGCTAAAGGAACAGAATTGGTCGATGGTATAAACGGTTGATTCGTAGCATCGGGCATAGCTACTTGCATCGCGGCTGTTATGCCATTTTCGTTAGAACACTGCGATTTACCAACAACTAGACTTTGCTGTGGCAATACGAATGGTATGTTGGGTAAAAGTTTTCCAAAAATGTTATTTACATTGTTTATGTGCGGGCTATGCTGAGGAGCAGTCACGGGTACTGTACTGGTAGTTGGTTGCCGAACAGGAACTGATTTCGGGATAATGATTATCTCTTCATTCCTTTTCAAAGTTTCCAATGCCGCGACAGGGTCTGTATAGTCCTTTCTGCTTAGTTTGGAAGCCTCTATCATCTGAATCTCTCTCTCCCGCATTCGTACTTTCAGTATTTCAGCCCTATTTGATTCGTTATGCCTGTATTCGTTCGTTCTTGTACAGTTTTTGTGGTGTATGCGACATCTTCGCGTCTGCAACTCGGTGCCACAAATGTCGCAGGCTTTTGACCGATTGCATCTATATAGTCTTACTACAGCTCTACGGCAACGATCATGATCGATGCTCAGTGCATCACATTTTTCATTTTTACAGTGTTTCGTGACTGGTGCATTTATCTCATCCTCTTCTATATTAGTTGCTAACAAAGGCGATGATCCATCTCTATCCATGTATTGTTGCACTGCCACGTCGCATACTATGTTCTCACATGGTTCATAATGTCCACAAGGTTTTCTCTCTGATTTTATAGGCACTAGCATAATCTCTGATTTCCCATTTATCTTAGAAGGTAAAAGATTTTCATCGTCTGCATTTTTTTCTTTAATATTCTCAGGTAGAATCGTTGTATTTAATTTGGTCTTTGATTCCTTTACATTTATATGAGTCATTTTCACCTTATTGGTAACATTGTTGTAGGAATTTGGAGTTGTTTGTATATTAAGAGGAATGGCTCTAACAATGATATTTGGTTGGTTCAATAGTCTTTTCACTGGCTCCGAGTTTAATACCTGCAAATGTGTAATGTTAAAACAGGGTAAAGAAGCATACGCAGAGTAGTTTAGGTTTTAACAGCCAAACTTCGTTTGACGCTGAGAACATTGGGCATCATACGATAGAATATTAGATGCTTTTGGAATCGAAGCATTATTATTGATTATCTTTGACAACTTTAGGTAGTAAACACAGCTGACATAAACATCTGATATGTTTTCACATTGTATCGCAGTAACTATAGATCCATCACTGCTCTCAATATTTGCTAATCCTAAAATTTTTCTCTTATTTACAGCAGTATAATTTATAGACAAATTTTGGCCATCGAAATCTGTAACAACCCTCCTCATATCGCAAATGTCAAACTCACGTCGGACAAGGGGGTTGTCGTTGAAAAATCGGTGGGGCACATGGCTGACGTAATTATTGGTTTCGAGGCAAGTTTCGGCAATATCGTTTGTGCCATTTTCGCAGCACGAAAACGGAAATCTGTTTATACCCTGGAACATCAAAGACAGCTTTACTATTGTATAACGTTTCGCCCAAACTGTCGCAATGTAACGCGAAGTCGGTGCACAATTTACTTGAAAATGGCAATGCGAAGCACTTCGATGAGAACGTTACGAGCCTCAGAAACATTCCGATGATTTCGATACATGAGACATCGCTGAAAACTGTTCCCCACTTACGAGAGAATTGTTAGGTTATTGGTTCCCTGACAAACGAGGATTCGTGTATTATCCGGTGGAAAAATACACGGTGTCTGGTCAATTTGGCAACATTTTCAACAAAATGCTCTCAGGTCCCTCGTGATATTGTCACCGACGTGGATCGATAAGTGTATTAATTGAACTGACACTTACGTGCTCGTAAATTTACGTTAATCGTAAATTGAAATCCATCGTCGCGACGCATACTGTGTACATCGCGAAACATCGACGGTCTCTCCGTAGGGGTTCCTACATCTCGAAGAAAAACATTGATAATTGATCGAACAAAAAGTACGTTTCCACTCGGAAGACGTACAATTTGACTGCTCCGAGAGACGATGCTGTTTACAGTGCTACAATACGAAAACGTATCAACGAATTCATTCTTTATAAACGTACCAACGGTCTAGCGAACCGATCCTATTGGCGGGAAAATGTGGTAAGGGAAGGTTTCTCCCACTTTGCGAACTCTTCGATTAGCTTCTCGATATTTATATTCTTCTTTTTTTCATTCCAATTAAGTTCTTAATACAAAGGGGGGGATAAGTTCGTTTTTCAATCGATATATGCATACATACATACATGTAATTCTCATCAAACAAGAAACTTATTGTACAAGCGAGTCGGGCAAAGTTTTAGCACGATTAATGACTAGCAGTTACATTTTAAATATTTGATTATGAGTTGCGATTTACGATTAGATTTTCTATTCAACCGATGCGTAATCGCAGCTTCTTAAAATAGGTTATTCAATCGTCGGTTGTGAACTACTGTACGTATTATAGCACTGTTATAAATAAATATAACTTCTTTTTCATCGTTGTCCAAACGATCTTATAGTACTGTTCACAGGGAGAACGACATTGCAATGCATCCAATACGTACAAAATATATTAAATAAATAGTACCATAGGTTTCTACAAAAAAAGATTAGCATCTTCGTTGCGTTATTTAAATCTCGCTCGTTGGTATGCATTTCCATGGTGAACACGCTGCATCCTGCATCTGCCGCGCGTACACACCTACCTTCCAATGATTATCAGCTACAATGATTCAGACGATCGCATGCATGGAATAAAGAATTTATTGTAACGTTACCATAGACTGGAAATTGTACAAGTATTAACACAACGTTTAAGGTTTAAGTAGTCTACATCTTGGCCTTTCGAACGCGCGAAACGCGGTTCGTCTTTGGTACCGAACATAATTGCATAATGGAATGATGCTGTCTGTTGGCTGTAGCAGGCTGCAAAGTTGACGAAGGGCAACAAACAAATTTTGTCGATTCGTTTCACGGTTTCGTTGACCTGTTCCCTCGAATAAGATGATGCTCGTTAAACGTTCTCGCGAACAATAGAAAGCCGCGCGTTCCTGATCGCTGCACGAATTTTTCCGGGGTCAAGAGGAGGTCAATCGATCGCAATCAATTTGAAAAAGAAAACAGGCCAAGGTTCTGCTCGAAAAAGTGACGATACCGTCTCGTTTTCTTTCGTTTCGTTTCATTATTTCGTACACGTGGCGTGCTGCACGGAACGTCTTGATTGTCTTTTACAGCGGAACAAGAAGCGCGCTGAGAGCGATTTTACAAATGACACGCGGCGGCGAACACGCTTGAACATTGTTGAAAAGCTTTATTGAACCCGAGGTTGCTCGGCTATACTCAGAAAAATTCCAACGCATATCCAGGCGCGTCTGTACATAGGAACTGTGTAAATGAAAAAGCGAACAATCGTATACAGGTGAACGTGGATCGCGAGAGAGATCGCTGTGCCTCGAATCGGCAAATGCACACGAACACGTTGCAACCGTTCAATAAAACCTTTTCTATTCTTTCTCTTGTGCTCTCTTTCTCCCGTTCTGTTTTTTGGTCTGTTGCGTGTTCTTCTATTTCCTCTTTCCTCGTCGTTTATTACTCTTTTCCCTCTGCTTTTCTCTGTAATTTTTGGTACAGGCGAGTCTCACGCGCTTAACAACAAATCGAACTTGACACCGTTAAAAAGCTAAATGCTGAAAAGTCGCATATCTCGCATAGGCTGCTCCCATGGGGTGGAGCCGGCCGCGAAAATGAACTCCATGGGCACGAAGGTACGTTGTATAAAATACGACTTACGTCTATGTTACAATATGCACATATTTACACGCTGCTATATCTCTCTTTCTCTCTCTCTCTCTCTCTCTCTCTCTCTCTCTCTCTCTCTCTCATGTTTATCAGTCAAATCAGGATTCTCCTTTGTTTTTTGGTTTAACGTTTTAAATTCTGTTCGATCCGATTTTCTTCTCGTTGGTTTTGCTAGGCAAATACGGAGCTGCACAAATAAATGTATTATAATCGTTACGGGATTCGAACGGGGGTTGCCATGTTTCCAGCTGATTAGGAACTCTGTCCTGCGTTTCGAAGTCTTTCGCGTTGCTTCTAGCGACTGCAGCTGCCTGCGAAGAAGAAACTTTCAAACCAAACCGGACTCCAAAAATAAAAGGGACCTCGCTCTAACGAATTTCGAATCTCGTATCGCGAAGTTCTGCGATGGTACGTATGATCGTGATNGATGCGTAATCGCAGCTTCTTAAAATAGGTTATTCAATCGTCGGTTGTGAACTACTGTACGTATTATAGCACTGTTATAAATAAATATAACTTCTTTTTCATCGTTGTCCAAACGATCTTATAGTACTGTTCACAGGGAGAACGACATTGCAATGCATCCAATACGTACAAAATATATTAAATAAATAGTACCATAGGTTTCTACAAAAAAAGATTAGCATCTTCGTTGCGTTATTTAAATCTCGCTCGTTGGTATGCATTTCCATGGTGAACACGCTGCATCCTGCATCTGCCGCGCGTACACACCTACCTTCCAATGATTATCAGCTACAATGATTCAGACGATCGCATGCATGGAATAAAGAATTTATTGTAACGTTACCATAGACTGGAAATTGTACAAGTATTAACACAACGTTTAAGGTTTAAGTAGTCTACATCTTGGCCTTTCGAACGCGCGAAACGCGGTTCGTCTTTGGTACCGAACATAATTGCATAATGGAATGATGCTGTCTGTTGGCTGTAGCAGGCTGCAAAGTTGACGAAGGGCAACAAACAAATTTTGTCGATTCGTTTCACGGTTTCGTTGACCTGTTCCCTCGAATAAGATGATGCTCGTTAAACGTTCTCGCGAACAATAGAAAGCCGCGCGTTCCTGATCGCTGCACGAATTTTTCCGGGGTCAAGAGGAGGTCAATCGATCGCAATCAATTTGAAAAAGAAAACAGGCCAAGGTTCTGCTCGAAAAAGTGACGATACCGTCTCGTTTTCTTTCGTTTCGTTTCATTATTTCGTACACGTGGCGTGCTGCACGGAACGTCTTGATTGTCTTTTACAGCGGAACAAGAAGCGCGCTGAGAGCGATTTTACAAATGACACGCGGCGGCGAACACGCTTGAACATTGTTGAAAAGCTTTATTGAACCCGAGGTTGCTCGGCTATACTCAGAAAAATTCCAACGCATATCCAGGCGCGTCTGTACATAGGAACTGTGTAAATGAAAAAGCGAACAATCGTATACAGGTGAACGTGGATCGCGAGAGAGATCGCTGTGCCTCGAATCGGCAAATGCACACGAACACGTTGCAACCGTTCAATAAAACCTTTTCTATTCTTTCTCTTGTGCTCTCTTTCTCCCGTTCTGTTTTTTGGTCTGTTGCGTGTTCTTCTATTTCCTCTTTCCTCGTCGTTTATTACTCTTTTCCCTCTGCTTTTCTCTGTAATTTTTGGTACAGGCGAGTCTCACGCGCTTAACAACAAATCGAACTTGACACCGTTAAAAAGCTAAATGCTGAAAAGTCGCATATCTCGCATAGGCTGCTCCCATGGGGTGGAGCCGGCCGCGAAAATGAACTCCATGGGCACGAAGGTACGTTGTATAAAATACGACTTACGTCTATGTTACAATATGCACATATTTACACGCTGCTATATCTCTCTTTCTCTCTCTCTCTCTCTCTCTCTCTCTCTCTCTCTCTCTCTCTCTCTCATGTTTATCAGTCAAATCAGGATTCTCCTTTGTTTTTTGGTTTAACGTTTTAAATTCTGTTCGATCCGATTTTCTTCTCGTTGGTTTTGCTAGGCAAATACGGAGCTGCACAAATAAATGTATTATAATCGTTACGGGATTCGAACGGGGGTTGCCATGTTTCCAGCTGATTAGGAACTCTGTCCTGCGTTTCGAAGTCTTTCGCGTTGCTTCTAGCGACTGCAGCTGCCTGCGAAGAAGAAACTTTCAAACCAAACCGGACTCCAAAAATAAAAGGGACCTCGCTCTAACGAATTTCGAATCTCGTATCGCGAAGTTCTGCGATGGTACGTATGATCGTGATCTCGGTGGCTTGGGGATTCTAACGGTTAATCTTTGGAAAGGTGCAGAGCTCTCTTCGATATGATTCTTGTCTCGGGGCTATAATTTCGCTCTTTAAAACTCTATCTTTATAAAATGATAAATTTTGGTCGAGCGTCTCTAATCTGCTATCGTCTCTTTCAACTGGTTGACTGCCGCGTCGGTCCTCCTGCGATCCGGTTTAGAAACGAAAAGCATCGGTGGAGAATGCGTCGGGCGGGGAACGCGAGGGATTGGACGAGGGTTTTATTCTTACATGTGGACGAGTAGACCGAACGCGGAAGGGTAGAAGAATCGCTCTGACTTTCAGGGGGGGTTTCGGGGGTCTTCACCCTCAACACTGGTACACCGGGATCACGAGGGACCCCAACGTCGTATCTCTAATCTCAGTTTACAATAAAAGCTGAAGTCTCCTCGTTTCCATTATTTTATACGCTAGCTAAAAATAAAATATCGACGGAGCGTTCGTCCAGAATTCGATCCGACAAGTTCCTCGGCGTTTCTCCTTCCGTTTTGGGGTCTGCCACGAGCCCGGTGTACCAGTAATTCGGCAGTCAACGGCGTTAGCAGTTGGCACCAACGCGGGCGCAATGTTTCTGTGCTATTTCTTTCGTTACACGTATATCACAGAGTTGAAGAATTTCTCGCGGGACTTTTGAAAATAAATCGATGCTTAGTCGTCTCGTTCGTTAAAAAATTCTCTCACGAACAAACCCATGTTCGTCGGTCGTTAGTGTTGCACGTGGATTACGGGTGAGATATCTCTACAAAAAATATTAGAATTTTTAAGTAACTACTATGTACACCGGTAGAAGAGGCAGGCTGTCCCAAGAGCACGCGATCCGAGACACCGGGCGTGTTCCGGGTACGTATCTGCGCGTCGCTGCCGTCACGAGCTGCCGTCGGAACGAGCACAAAAATCTCGATCCGACCACTTCGAGAAGTCCGACAGGTAATATAATAGAAGACGCGTTTCTTCGTCGTTTCGAAGCTTACTCCGAAGATCCTCGAACGATCGAGACATAGAACCACTTATCCGAGCGCCATTCGTGCTCGTCGCACCCTCGACAAGCGAGTCACCGACAGACTAGATTATTTCGAGTACATCTGCTCCCGAGATCTACTTTTTCCCCTCTGCCGTCTTCGCGACCGTCCTTTTGTGCACGCCGGCCACTGTCCTCGTCGCGTTCGCGTTGGAGTTCTTGTTAGCCTCGAACTTCTGCTGGAGCGACGCCACGTTCGATTTCCCGGCGGCGGCCCTCTGCACCGGGTTCGCCTTCGTCTCCGTCTTCGTCTCGGTCTTCGTCTCTGCCTTTGGGGCAACGAGCTTGGCCTGCGAGACCTTCGAGACCGACTCCTTCACGGAGGCCAGAGGTTTGCCGATGCCGGCGTTCCCGCTGGTCGTCGGCGACTTCTTCCTCTCCGCCGGGGCGGAGGTCGTCTTGGCGATCCCGAGCGGCTTCAAGGGCGTCGAGGGACTCTTGCCGCCTCTCGGCAGCGTGGGCACCTTCTGCGCGCTCTTCACCGGGAAGCTGAACTTGCCGCTGTTTCCGAGCACGTCCGGCGACTTTGTACTGATTTGGTTCGAGCTCGAACAGCTCGACACCACGTCCGGGCTGTTGAACTTACCCCCGCTATCCTTAGGGCTACAAGGCACAGTTTTCGCAGATAATCTATTTACGTTCGTGACAGAGTCCTCCTTCTCCGTGTTCCCGCTGGACCCTTGCTTCGATACCTTCGAGCTGCCGTCGGGGGGCTGTTTCGACCTGAACGTGTTCTCAGGATTTTTCGCCGTTGATCCCTTCGCGATGCTGGGAGGCGTCTTTGTCCGGCCGAGAACGGGCCTTGGCTGCTCCTTACCATCCACCGTGTCCTCCCCGGTCTTCGTCGCGGCTCGCTGGACCGGCCTGGTCTTCGACGAAATCGCCGGCTTGTCGGCGTTGCTCGGCTTCATCCCCAGCTCCTTCGATATGTCGTCGTTCAAGTTCGGGTTCGACGAGTTCAGGGACGCCAGCTTGGTCTTGTCGATCTGCTTCGGCTCCGGCTTCTCCGGCTTCTCGGGCTCCTGTCGCGGCACGTTCAGCACCGAGGGGTTCAAGTAGCCCGAGCTGGTCGTCGAGCTGGACGAGTTGAACTTGCCGGACGCGGAGTTCGAGTAGATGCTGCCTGGCGACTTGTAGTGAGCGGAGTTCACGTAGGCTTCTTCCGGCGTCTTGGCCGCCTCCTCGTTGTTCTTCGACTTCCGCGAGAGGGTGGCGGTCGAGTAGATGGAGTCGAAGTTCCGGTTCGAGATCTCCGAGACGATCTCCGACAGCAGACCCATCGACTCGACGCCGGCGGCGGCCGCGGAGGCTTCGACCGGCTTCGGGAGCTTGTACTCGTTGTCCAGCCGCTTGTCGACGGTCAGCTGCTGCTCCGCGAGGTTCTTTCTCGCTTTTTCCGGCAACGTTTCCTCGATGACCGCGTAGATGTTGTCGCTGGTGGGCGACTCCTCGGTGATCTTGGTCAGCGAGGACTCCGGGACCAGATTCATGCAGTCGTCGTACGTGTCGTCGACGATCTTCTGCGAGCTCTTGACCTGCGGCGTCTGATAGCCGGGCAGCCCGGGGATCTTGCCCGTTTCGTTCATCTTCTCCGCGGAGTTGGAGATCGTCGGAGGTCCCGGCGGCGGAGCCGTGGGCCTGGTGCTCGCGGGGATGCTGGTGGGCCTCTTGACCGGCGTGGTCTGCCTCATGGAACCGAAGGTCTGGATATTGGGCCTGGGCGTGATCTTGCTGTCCCTCATCGATTGAGCCCTCAGCACCACGTTCTTCTTCTCCGTCTCCGCCGCGGAGACCACGGGTATCGCAGGGGTCGGGATCTCTATCTCCTTCTGAGGAATCGGGTTCGATATCTCCAGGTTCCTCAAGATCTCTTTGTTTACCAGCTTGTTGGCCTTGTGATGCTGCAGTCTGGGCAGCGAGTTCGTGTTCTTCTCCTCCTTCTGCGATATCTGCAGGCCCGTCTTCATGATGCCGGAGCTCGGGCGTAGGATCGAGGCTATCCTGTTCAGAGTGCCGCCCTTGTCGTGCCTTTTCTCGGGTTCTGTGACGAGGACGTTGGTCAACGGAGTGCTGTTGGGTCTCTGGAGCCGCTGGAGCTCGGCGGAAATTGGCGGGGCGGGCGCCGGTCTCGTTGGAGCGTCCAAAGAGGGCCGGGCAAGCGGTTTGGTTGATATCACCTCCACGGAGGTGCAAGTCGTCGCTGCCAAGACCGGGCTGCTGATCGAAGGACGGCCTGGGTTCAACGGCGGCAGGCTGGGTGCCGGTGGCGCGGACGGCACCTCGTTGTTGTACCCGGACGAAGGGTTTAGGATGGAGTTTCGTGGCGCGGCGCTCTTCGGCAGCGTTCTGATGTTGGTTTTGATCGCCACGGTGGGGATCGTGGGCGGAGGCGGCGCTGGCTTGGTCGGCTCGTTGCTCTTCTGCTGGCTCTTGATCGGCGTGATCGAGAACCCTTTGAACTGGCCGAACAGATTATTGTTGTAACGCTCGTCGGTCTCCGGCTTCGGCAATAAGCTCGCGCACGCCGGGTCCTGACTCAGGCTAGAATCGATCGTCTCGATCGTTCGGGGCAAGGGACTCGGACGATCGATCCCATTGTGGCCGCGATCGCTCCTGAAATGTCAAGCACAAACAACCAACAATCGCGTGTGCACTCTGAACGCTCTACTCAGGTTGAACGGTTACATGCACTTAGCTCTCTTCGATCGTCGCGTGCATCGCGGCTCTCTCACGCACACGTGCGAGATTCTTATTCGTTCTGGTGCATACGAGATGCTCCCGGTTCCGTTGAACGGACGCGCGTCTCTCACGGAGCCGTTTCACATTTCGTATGCACCGGTCCGACACAGTGTTTCGGGGGAACGTTCTCGTAGGGAAACACGCATGCAAACACACGTTTTCAGAAAAAAAAACACTTGCAGGAATAGATGGTGTTAGTGAGAGATTAAAGTGTTAGTCGCAAGCTCTTTGGAAGAAGGAAGTTTTCGTATCTGCTTTCTGCTTTCGTTCGATCGATTCACTATGAAGAAAATTCGGTACACTTGTCCGTGTAGAAACATTACAGTTTATTGAGAATAATCATGTACAATCCATTCTGCTTAAGTGCGAGCGACTCTGTGCAGTTTTCCGAGATTCCCTTCGAGAGAGAAAAAGAGAGAGAGAAGGGACACCGGTTACTCCTCCTCATACCTTCGCTACCTTCTTTCTGTTTGTTTGTTTGTTTGCTTTTTTTTTGTTAAAAGAGATTAATTTCCAGTATTACGTGGTCGTTAACACGTGTCCCGGCGTACACCGAGTCCACTCGGAGGAGCCGAGAACCTCGAGCCACTTCCGCGAACCTCGAGATGCAAAAGTAATCGAGAAAAACAGAATCCACACATGCTCATGCTCGTGTCGCAAGTTCTAGCCATGCTCTAAGTCCACGGGTCTCAAACCTGTCCTTCGGTTGAGCTATTTTTAACTAAATAGAGTATTATAGCTTATATCGCCCCTGCACGCAGCGCAATAGTTCAGTGATCGTATCTAATAGCGTTACAGCTTGTCAAAGAATATTTTTGGAACTATCGTAACCATTCAGGTTGTTAGGCTATTTCATTGTTTCGAATGGTTGCCTATACTTTACAGGATAATTTCTAAATCGCTGAAATATCACGCCGCGCGACAGGGCAACCGTCGTTCTGTCTTATTATCACCCACTTGCTTAATACTTTAACACGACGTGCACACTCTAACACATAATATGTATCTATATACTATATATATTTATAATAGTATCCTCGAAATGCGCGATGCGCGTGTGTCGTTACTTGAGCATATGAAATAATCCACGACAAAACAAGAATAAATAAGCTACGTACGCGCGCGCGATTCCTCTAATCTCTACAGTGATAAGTACAAAATTCTACGCATTCGCGTTCGATATGCTCGTACGAGCACGGTTCGTGTCTCGAAACGTATAAAAATTCTACAACAGGACTCGGTCTACGTGGACCACTACCCATGGAGACGAGGTCCCGCCGACTATTCGTTAATTCCGTTGTTACAGTATAAAGATCACAGTGCATCCGTACTCTATCGTTTGGCAAAATGAGTCGATTAGTGCCGCCACCGTTACCGCCAACCTTGCTTTCGTCCTAGCGCGAAGATCATGGTCGTGACAGAGGGATCAAGGGTCGCCATGACCTCCGCACTAAAAGGAAACACTTCTGGATATCGACGCTTCGTCTACCGGAATCCTATTGTTATCGTTCGTATGAAAATGTTATTGCGACCGTCTGACCAATCGCGAGTTCGCAGAGATTCCTCGAACAACCGGTAGACAATGCGTTCATCGAGGTGATAGGAAACTGTTACGAGGGCTTGAGGATAGGTCGGATCTTTGGCTTGAGGCTTTGGTCGGGTGCGGGCGGGGGCGGAGGCTTTTTATTGTAGAACGGAGATTGGACCCTGATGCAGGGTTGCTTGACGGGCAACAAGGGCTCGCCAGTCTTCGGCGACGGGCTGGGAGCTTTGTTCAAGTGCTCCGGTTTCATGTCGGTTCTGACCGTGAGCCCCTTGACGTTCTTTGCGGTCATTTTCTGCATCTGTTGGATGCGCTCGGATATCTTGGTGCCCAGCTCGGTTCGCAGCGAGTTCTTGCGCGGTCGGGACTCTACGGAGGACGAGGTCGCGGCGGCGGTGGCGGACCGGTCAGACTCAATCGATTTCCGGTCGACGATCTCGTTCGGTTTGGTTCGACCGTCAGTCTGGTTACCGGCGTTCGCGAGCAGCATCGACTTCCGGTACTCGATGCTGCTGCTGCAGTTAATCGCGTCCGGGTTAGTGGTCGAGATCAGGCCGGTCTTAGTGATCTGCAGCTTCTCCTTCGTCGGGAGATTGTCGCTGATCGTGTACACGCGGTCCTCGTTCCTGAGGCTCCCCGGCCGCGACGAGAAGAACATGACCATTCGCTCGTATACGTTTTTACCGATCGTGTGACCCGAGGTCGGCCGCGGCTGATGCTTGCGCGGCTTTAGCACAGGCTCGAAGCATACGTACTTTTTCTCTTTGAGCCAGATCCCGATCGAAGATATTGCGACCATCGGCACGATGCCCAGGAAGATTATGTACATGACCATCGCGAAGTCGTTCCTCGCTGCAACGAACAGAGAAGCAAGATTAGAACAAATTGCAACAAGAGCTTTGGTGGTAGGCTGGCGTTGGTCCTTCGATGAAGCTCGAGACGATCCAACGCCAACGATCTCGGGAAATTGAACGAAATCGATTCACCGTTCGGATCCTGCGCCGGCCCGCTGTCCTCGGAGCCACCCACGCCCGGCTGAGTGCAGTCGGGCGGCCGGAAGCCGCGATTGCAGTGACAGTGGCCCAAACTGTTGCACACGCCGTTCCCACCGCAATTGTTCGGACACGCTTGCCCGCCAGACACCGACGCGCGCAGGTCGGCCACCGACATGCACTTCTGGTTCACGCACATCTAAATCGGTCATAACGTTTATAGTAATCGGATATAGGCGCATGCTGCAGCGAAATTGTACTCTTAGTATCCCGTGAAATGTGGTCGATCGATCGAGTCGGTTAACAACAGCTATGCCGTGGATCATTGTATTCGCGATTTCGATCGATCACTTTTTCCCAGGAGAAACAGTTTAGAACAGTATCCCATCGTTACCTTGCCAGGCGCGCACTTGGCACCGTCAGGAGCTAGACCAGGGTCCACCTGGTTCAAGCCTAGATCGACGATTGCCGTTCGACACGGGATGATCTTCCCTCCGTTGTTGATGAACGAGTGACTGAGAATCGCAACGGACTCCATGCCGAACTCCAGCCTCTCGTTCAAGTGTTTGCAATGCAGCATCCCGCAGAGGAGATTCCTGAAAGGGTGCCATAAAAGGGGCAATTAAAATGCATTCTTTTCTCTTGTAGGGTAAATGTGAATCAAATCTACAGCGTCCTCCGATTTTGATAAAACAGAGTTCCAATAAATGTTTAGTCCGCTAAACAGGCCAGAACTACGTTGTTTAATTTGTGGTATTTATTATTCATACAATGTATAGTATGAATATAATATACGTATAATTAATGTGATCCAAATAATATTCAGAAAAATAATGTACAAAGTAGCCATTTCTTCTACTATACTTTCTCCTTTTAGTCTCGATTTTCTAGCAGGTGCTTCTCAAAATCGGAGGGAAGCCTTGACAAGAAGGAACGTCGTCTTACTGGTCGGTGCACTTGACGTAGCTGGTGTCGAGACGTCTGTAGCCGCAGTTGCCGTGTCTTGTACCCTTGTTGTTCATCTCGTAGCACTGCGAGTCCGAGGAGATGCCAGTGGGTCCCCAGAGCAACTTGCACTGATCGTTGTGAGTCCTGCAGGAGCCTTTGTAGCAGAAAGCCTTGCCCATGTTGCAGGACTCACCGTCCATCTTGAAGACATCGACGGGACAGTACTCGCTCTGGCCTGTGCAGTACTCCGGCAGATCGCACTCGTGCTCCGCGCTTCTGCACTCGGTGCCCGCGGTCTTCGGTTTGCAGGTCTTGAGGTCGCAGCACGCCCCGGTGGCGCAGCTCGCGTTGCTGTGCAGCATACAGGTGGTCACGTTGCAGCAGGGGTTGTCGCAGTTCTCCTTGAAGCCGCAGTCGCACTGTTCTCCGGGCTCGACGAACCCGTTGCCACAGACGGGGCTGTCGAACAGCTTCTGCGGCTTGTTCCTCAGACAGTAGTCCATGCCGTGCTCAAACGCCAGAGCCAAGTGGTCCAGGGAGCAGCTAGACCAGTGCGTTGGCCCAGCAGAGCCGCTCGACGACGCCATTATGCATCTGTGAGAAGAAAACAGCTGTTACTGGACTGATTCGCTAGCGCTTATTTTATCTAGCCTCAGGTTTAGAAATCGGACTTGACTTTACAAATTTGACCAACTCATTCTGCTTTTCACCAGGTTCCATTCATTCCTTCTTTCTTCGCATTTCTTATGTTCTAATTACTCCATCTAGATATCCTGTCTACTCTATCTAGTGCACACTGTTTCTATCCTTTCGGTTATCCTACCTGTTTCATTATAGCCTCTGGGTTATTTTCTATTCTTTGGGTTATCCTACCTTTTTCTTTATAGCCTTGTCTCCTACTCATTATACCCTTTATGGTGATACCTTCATCGGT